TTTACACTTGCAAAAATTCGTTGCGGAGAAGTGCCAGGTGAAGATGCACTTCACTCAGGTCGGTCGGTTTATGAACATTCGTAATTAGTTAAGTTTAACTAAAGAGCAGTTTGAGTATCTCAAACAAGTAGACAACGAACAATGTTATTATAACAAACAACAACAACAAATACGATAAAAAATATAGACAGTAAATATATTTTTAAATTTATTAAAAGTGCAAAGGTGACATTTTCGTGCTGATAGTGTTAAAGAATTTATTATTGAATAATTTTATATATTCATTTTTATATATGTATAGTAGATTTATTTTGCATATAAAAAAGTTTTGAAACTATGTTCACTTTTTTATAATTATTATTTATTGTCTTTTTTTTTTAATTTTGAAATGTAATAAATTACAAGTTAATATATTGAAAATATAAACATATTACTTTTTCTATACAAGAAGATACTGATAATTATATCACCTTCCACTTTTTTCTACTTATTATCCAGTGTCTTTGAGGAAATTAAGGTTTGAGGTTAGGAATTTCTCCTAAACTCAATCTGAGGTGTATATGCCTCATGGGTTACAAGATGAGATTTATCATTTATCCTAAAAAGTAAAATATTAAACAATAGTTATAGGGACTAGAATCTCCCGCTTTATGTTTTTTATTATCCTTTCCCCTTAGTTTAGCACAGTTTCGCACCATTTTTTTAAACCTTAATCTGCAGAATGCTACTGAATTTATTTATAAAAAGACATTTTATCATATATACTATACTGTCTACAAAATCGTAAATCAACCTCTTCTAGTATATGGATCTAAAGTGTGGACTCCAGGTTAGGTTAGGTTATACCGCCGTTCACTAGGAGATCCACTTAGGCCTATTGACCCATTGTGTTGTCGTATATAAAGAAAAATTCAGGATTTAAAACCACCTAGAACCAATGGCGAACCTCAAAATGCTGTGTCAGGTCTTTTAATTGATTACGATTCTCAAGAAAGGGTCCTCAACTCCAAAAGTGTTGAGTCGCCACCATACATGGTCTGGGCAAAGACAGAGTAGAGTCGATTTCCCTACAGCTGCAACAGGTATGATTTAAAGGAAATTTCAATTTTCTAACATGGTTGCCTAGTTTGCAGTGACCTGTAAGTAAGGTAACCGTAGGACTAATATCTCTATGTTACATCTTAATGAGAATATTGGATTTGCTTTTAGTGGAAAGTGACCAGATTGCATACAGATGCCTGCGTTGACTTTTCCTATCTTTTATTAAAAATTTCAGCACCAAAAGAACTCAGCAATAATTTGCATGAATGTGGACTTTAACATGAGATTTCGTTTTTTAATGAAAATTACTGAGGTACAAATGGGAACTATAAAAGGAAAACCAATAAGATTGATAAGCGGAACATTTCCGATTAGTACGATTAATGTCATAAGAATGAAACAAAATCGTTTACAAAGACAAATAATACTATATGAATAAATAATTACTAGGACGAAAGAAAGATTTAAGTGAAAATGCCTCGATTATGTAGTGGATGACATAGGAAATATGCAAGTGCAAAATTTAAAACAATTGGCAACTAATAGGGTCACATAGATGGAGGTCCTAAACCCCAATCGTCGGTATTAAATCTACTGTGAAGATTACACAATCTATATTCATACATAATTAACTTTATGCTAAAATGTAAAGCAATTTGATGATCATAATTAAAGTATATTGGTTGATTAGGTGGATTTTGTCTTATATGGTTGAATATGTTATGCTATGTCTATGTTTCAACTCAAGATCTCGCAGATATATATAGCTTGGTAAACAGAAGAGTTCTCGCATATGCTTGAATATGTTATGTTATGTCTGTGATTCAACTCAAGATCTCGAAGATATATATAGCTTGGTAAACAGAAAAATTTTCGCATTTGGTTGAATATGTTATGCTATGTCTGTGATTCAACTCAAGATCTTGAAGATATATGTATATAGTTTGGTAAACAGAAAAGTCTTGCTTAATGTTTTTTCGAAAGTCAACAAAACCTGTAACTGTTACCAAATGACTTGCTTCCTATAGTTCCTGGATCATTTTATTGAAATTGTAATATTGTGAATTACATTAAAACTCTTTACCACGTGACTATGTTATCTTTCTTGTATCTTTGAAGAGGTTCATTTACTCCAAAATTTTTCTTGAAGCAAAAAACAGCCTCGACAAATATATAATATTAAAAAAAAAATATTAAAAAGACTATCTCAATAAGCATTTAATAATATTTTCTGATTTACTCTTATTATTGTGATTTTATTCCAAATCGCTTAAAAAACCACTCAAATTACATAAATATGGCTTGGATAATTGGACAAAATCGTTTGAATTATTTTGGTATTTCCATTGAATAGCTTAAGCCGTACTTACGTACACTTGTTACGGTTTACATTGCGCACACGCCAGTCTTCAAATCCGGACTCGAACGAAAGTAAAAGTATCGATTGTGTTGCTTTCTTTTTGGGCTGCTGCTGCAGACTGAAGTAATTTGAAGTTCGGATTTTGACTTTTAAAAATTAAATATAATGACCTCAATAACTCTATTTGATAAGTTCGATTCAGCAAATTTAACCGTAACATTAACGGTAGCGATTAGTCATTGATGTTTTTGTTGCTAACGAACATTAAGTGATTATTATATATGCCAAAAGCCATAAAATGTTATTTTATGTTTTCATTTCAAAAAACCACAAATGTTTTTATTTATTTGTATAATACAATTCAATTGTTAATAATTTCAATTCTTTTTATATATAAATAAATATATAACCCGGTAAGGAGAGTTTCGGAAGTACATGCTAAACATTATTTAATCTATTAACACATAATGTTTACAAACTATAAAAAACTTTTGAACATGGAAGTGCAATTTTCCTGCCGACCACGTTTTCCTATAAGACATGGTCGGTAGGTCATTAGGTCTTTGACCGGCACTTAGATCACTGATTAGCTATACAAAAAATGAAAGCAAATCAATACTCTACTCTTTAGGGGTATTAGTGATGCTGTAAGCCGTTTTATTTAACAACTTGGTTCCAATTAATCATTTTAGGTTTCATTTCAGTTGAAATTAACTACTTTAAATCTACAAGTAGTATTAATACATGATGGACCAAATTATTTTCATCTATTTATATATTTTTATATATTTCTTATAATTTTTTTAATATATCTTTTCATATTTTTTTCATAAGACGGTGATTACCACTGGGTAGACCCGTACAAGCCTGTCAATTATGGTTATTACCTTAAGTAATACTTATTATTCATGCTTAGAATAGATTGTATATAATAAAATGAAGTTAAAAGAAATATTTTTTTATATTTTTTTATTTCAATTTCAAAAAAAAAAAAAACGTTTTAAAATATATCAGTTCAATTGGGCTATTTTTTTTTGCGGCAAGGAGGAGTGAAATGCCTACGCACTGACCACAATCCGGCGCCCCGGAAGTTGAGTGCATTATATCGTCGTATACATTATCGTCTTCGTTGTTACTCTAATGGCTTTAAATTTAGTTTGAAATATGTTACAATAGTTCGACCATCTGAGGTCTTTGAGCTCTATTGACAGTGCCCAAGAACTCACCGCACTTGTATATATTTGTTTTTTTTTTTTTTGGATTTAATATCAAAGAATTTTTTTTAGATTAACCAGTCAGTATAATGCGTGTATACTAGAACCACAACTCCCACAGTTTTAGTTAAAAATTCCAATGTTCTCAATATTCTCAAATGTTGTATCTCAGGAGTTCTCACATTCGTAAAAATGTCTACTACAAAATCTGCTAATAGGTTCAATTCTAACTGGTATCGCTAAGAGCAAGAACGTATTTAGTGCGAGAACTAATAGATGTATACCTTTCTATTCCCTTGACAATATTTTAATAATGCTAAAATTTTGGGAACTGCAAAAATACTGCCAAATAATTTAATTGGCAAATCCCCATTCCCTCCCTCCCTGGCATAACCCTAGTTAGGATAGTGCATAATGCGAAAATTAAGGAAACTGAAAAAATACTGCCAAGATATTTAATTTTATAGTACATACTGAACTTCCCTTGGCACAATCCTAAGTAGGGACCAAAAAGTCTATGCGTGACTTACGGCTAGTCCGTTTAATACTTAAAACGTATTAATTAATTAATTTAATAAAGAGGTTTTCGAACAGAAGTGAAACAACAACAAAAATTTATTTTTTAAATTATTTTAATTAATTGAATTTTCGGCTGACCATACAGCTGTTTCGAGTATTGCCAAATACCCTTCAATCAGTGGTCTTGGAAATAATTCTTTATATTTAATTATTCGTAAATAATTATTTTTGAGACTGCAAGTACCAGGAATAGAACTCTGGTCCTGCCAAATATGAAGCTCAGAATCAGCGCACCTTAACCAACTGATCCAAAGCCGTACTTGACTTTTTATGTTCGCATATTTTTGCTGGAGTATTGTTACTTTTGCTATGAAAGTTTTTATTAACAATTTTACTTGCTGTATTTATATATATAAATATATAATTTAATTAATTACTTGGCACAATCCTAACTAAGGACCAATAAGTCTATGCGTGACTTACGGCCAGTCCGTTTAATATTTAAAACGTGTTAATTAATTAATTTATGTAACGAATTTAATGGTTTTGAATTAAATTAAAAACCAAAAATTAAGCTTCTATTTGACATTATTTAATTACTGAAGTAGTAATTAAGAAGTAATTTTTTGATAATAAAGATTTATACTTATTCTAGAACCTCTGGAAATAGATTTAAATTTGTTTTTAATTGAAGTCTATTGCGAAATAGTGTTGCATTTTGTTTGAAGTTTTAAGCCTCAATAGGTTTTTTTGGTCGTGAGTAGTAATACTAACTAGAAACTTAAAATTAACGCAGATTACGTATTGAAGAATCTCCAGGGGTATTGTGTAAATATTTCACACATGACTTCATCATTATATTACCATTAAAGGCCCACGCAAACACATTCATCCGGAGTTGGAGTTGCAGTTGGAGACACATTCATTAGTGAAGCAATCATTGTGATATTGTACTAATTTGGTATGAAAAGTAACACAAAAGTATCTGAAAATATATGTCAGCAAAATTTTTATTACATTTATTGAAGTACAAACAAGCAACACATAGAGCCGATTGGAGGGGCTCAGAAGTGGCAAAGTGGCAGGGAGTACTTATGTATGGAAAAGTGCAGAGCCCACATAAAATTTGCCAAGTTCTTCTGCAATTGTCAGCACAAGTCAACGCAACAAATCAAAATAAAATAAAAAACTGAAAAAAAATCTTTTTGTTAATTCTTTTTTTTTGTTTTTTTTTTTGTTAACATTTTGACATAAATGACGTTTTATTTCGTTCGGTTTAAATGGCAGCAGTTAAAAATATTGCCTTAAGAAGCGCAGAAGATTTAAGTAGCATCTTCCATTTATTTACATACTAGCAGATACACATTCACACATAGGCCAATAGGCAATGAGCGATGAGCGATGAGCGATGAGTCGCTTGTATTCCCGTACTTTGGCTTACTTATTTCTCTGCAAAACTCGGTCTCATCTTCTTTTGTGCCGCAGATAATCGAGACTGCAATTGCGACTGCGACATGGATTGCTGTGGTATTGCTTTGGGTATTGCATTCATGGAAACAACCGCGTTAACCAAACAATTGCATAACAGTTTGTTTGGCTGTTTGATTGTTGCCTTGCGGTTGTACTTTTGCCTTTACCTCAGGTTTGGGATCTGTGCATCTTCTGCCGTTCGATTTCAAAAAGTGCATCAAAATAGCAAAAAAAGTAGAAACAAATCAAAAATAAAAACAAAAATAAATTTTCCCGCGCA